GCCCCGCCACCGTAGAAACACCTCTCCAATCATTCCATGACACCACGCACACAAAAACAATGATGCATCGATTGTAGATCCATTTTCTTGACAGCAACAAAAACTTTGTTTTCTGTTTGTGTTATTTAATTAATTATTTTTTTCTTCAGATAAATATAAAATAAAAGTGGGATGCAAACAATTGATGAAAGTTGTTTGACGAAATCAAAGTCCAACCTGTAATGCGTGTTTCTCCATTCCTGATTTTTGTAAAGTAAATAAAAATTGCACAACTCCATCAATTCTCGCTGCCGATTGCAGATCCGTTTCTCACCGTCACAAAACTTGAAAAACTCAGATTTATTAAAAGTGAGAGAAAAATAAAAAAAACAAACCAGAAGAGAGAAGAGGTTAGGCAACACAAAATAAAAGAGAAAGAGAGAGACAAAGAAAAGGGGAATAGTTAGGGCGGCGGAAAAGAGAGCGAGGGGAAAGAGAGAATGAGAGAAAAAAAGTAATTTTTATTAATTATATTAAGGGTATTTTTGGGTTAAAAAATTTAAAAGGATGTATGTCAATTTTTGTTTTTAATTAAGGATTTAGTTAAAATATTCTATTTGAGGTTGTCCCCTACATCTAGTTAGGTTTGATATTAGGGGTGTCAAGCATATTACCCCTTTATTTATTGATGTTTTTGCTTTAGAAGTTGATAGATTTTGCTTGAGGACAAGCAAAGGTTCAAATTAGGGGTTGTGTTGAGTGTAGATTTTACATTCAATACGTTTACTTTATGTGGATCTTTTATTTAGAATTAATTATATGTGTGCTTTAATAGATAGATTTTGTGTTTTATGGGTGAAAACTGAGAATTAGGTAACCATGAATGAAAAATGATCAAAAGAAAGGAAAATGTTCCAAATAAGGAAATAAATCAAACTGAATGAAGAAATCTCACGGCAGTGTCCACAATTTCAAGCATTTCTCTCTCATACGAACTTCAAATAACTTGATTTCAGCGGCATTGGAAAGATATTTGCAAGGATGCAACTTTCAACGCTAGGACTCTAACATGGTCAAAGTCGGAGAACATATCCTGGTGGGGCAAAGTGGCGGAAATTGAATCCTATTAGGTTTCCACTACTTCCTTATCAAGAAAAACTTATATAAGCAACACGTCTCTACACCATAAACATGAAATTTTACACCACAAAAGGCAAAGAACGATGACGAAGACTCAAGCATAGTTTTTCTTATTTGTTTTATGAATTCTATTTTGTTTATCATAAGAATTACGAGTAGCTATAAACTCTTTAGTTTCTATGATTTTATTCGAACCTATGTGGGGTTTGTGAAGCCAACTCTATGATTTTATGCAAGTATTAATATTCGATTATTTTTTCTACTTGATTTATTAAGTGCATGAACTTGATCACTTTATGTACTTTATTGTTATTGTTGAATGCAAGAACCGAAATATCGGTTTAACAATTAGAATTGTGGTAGAAGAACCTTTGTTGCGTTATTATAGGAATATAGTTATTTACTTAGGTAGCCAATACTAAGATTTGTGCTAATGCTTAGTTCTTGATTGAATTGCGTAGGAATACAACAATTTAATCATGATGAATAATATAATCATAATACACTATATTACTTGTTCGATACGTGTACTTGTGTGTAGGAATTCGAATCAACTAAGGACGTTGTAGCTCCGTATATCAATGCTAAAGGCACAACTGACTTTGAAGAACTTATTCTAATGAGAAGCGATCCTACGGGTTCCAATCATGTCCACACCACCATGCCAATCGTGGATCTCCACAACTCAGAGGAAAGAGTATCGCTCAACCACCGGTGTTTTTCCTGCGAACATGCTCCTTGAATCCCGCACCCTATGTCCTCACTCGTTCAGCCTCTTCCACATGTGTCGACCCAGCGGAACGAGTTGACTCCTTCTGCAACCCAACACACACGTGTGACATCATGCCATGTTGTGCTGAGGTCACATTTCCTATGCCCACGCCGACTGGGATCTCCCCCTCCTCTAATTTCGAGCCAATATATTGTTTTGTGCATAGCTTTTCGCTAGCAGCTCCGAATTTTATAAAATTTGCGGCGATGGACTCCAAATTTTTCTACACTACCGTCAATAACCCTCAAACTATCGGAATGTTCTTTGCCACTCTACTACAACATTAATTCAACGAATTCTTCGCTCGGCTCACCCAACAAACATCATGGACTGGTAAAAATGTTACAAATTTTCTAAGTACTTCAACCCGGGAAATTCAAGAGCCGTATTTTGCCTGGGGGCAGGCGGCTCAGGCCGTCGTAATGTTACAACTTACTCCAATAATTTCAGCGCCTGGCCGCCGCTGCCCTACAACATCTTGGCTTCTTAAGGCGGATGACTATTTCTATATTACTCCAAGACAGTCCGACGGGCTCGTGGCCCATCCTGGGAGTGGGGACTTATCAATGTGCCTAGTTGGCCTTTAACCCAAAAGGCCCAAAAGGCCCAAGAGGCTCATTAAAATAAAAAGCCCAACACAAAGGCTCTTAATTAAAACCTTTTAAAAGCTTATGGGAAGAAACCTTATGTTTCTTGTGCCACATCAGATTTCTACTAGAAGTTTCTCTATTCCTTCATCTATAAATATGTGATTCAACTCACATAATGCAGTACGTACTACATAGGCAATAAATTAATATTATGTGTTTATATTGTGATAGTTTTCTGACTTGAACATCCGAGGACAATCGTCGAGTCAACCCCGGCGTGTCAGCTAGTGTTTTCAACTGTTTTGTACATTAACGAGAGGACCAATCTCTTCGACTACCTCGAAACACGTGACAGTGACCCTTGGCATTCTCTACCATTACGGGCTAAAAAACTCTTGGTTGCCCAATCGATATTTGATCAGCATCTCTTGGCTTTCCTTTTCCAGATGCTGACTTGATTGAACAAATACAACACACCATGTTAACTGAAAAAGAAGTCTACTTTCAATTTTCAAATTTAGGATGCAAGATGCAATGCAAACAATAATTTTTAGTACAAATAAGTAACAATAAAATACAACTTTCAAAACCACAAAAAAAAAAAAAATTCTGTAGCAAACAAGATGCAAAGAACAAAAAAAGAAAAAGCAAGCAGCAACAACTAATAAAAGAATTAAAAAAAAACAATTATCAAAAATATATAAACTATTCAAACTTCAATATAGTGCATACTACAATAAAATGTAGACCAAATGAACATCAACAAAATGCATAACACAAATAACAACATGTATACCATAAGAATATCAAGAAAACGACGACATAAAAATAATGATGTGTTCCTTTCTTGGATGATGTTAAACAACAATTTTGTGACATTCTCTTTTTTTTTTTTTTGACATGGTTGTTAAATGCCCAATAAAAGAAAAGTAATTAGAACAACAATCACAAACAATAAAGTACAAACTTCAACGAAAATTTACTAATTGCAAATATAAAATTTAAATTCAAACAATAATAGAAACAACAAACAAGAATTGTCATTGCAAACATTAAACAACAACTGCAAGTTCAAAACAATAACTGCAAAGTGCAACCTAAAATTATAAACAATTACTTCTTGCGAACATGTAGAAACAGCAAAAAAAAAAAACTAATTTAAATGCCACACTATGGGGACTACAGAAAAATGCATAACAAACTGACATCAATATCATGGATAACACAAGAACATGACACGTGCAAACAAAGAACTGCCATTACAAACACTTGCAAAGTGCAAACTACAGAGATTTTTTTTAAAATGTCCACCCTATGAAGGTTATAATAAAACAGACCTAATTAATAGCAAACAAATGCATAACACAATCAAATGCAAACATTGCAAACAACAAATAAAACTTTAATTACAATCATGAAACGCAAAGTGCAAACTGTAATTACAAGCATAAATCAAATTATAGAACAACTAGTTGTACTGTCTTACCCACATACTATAATAATCTACATACCCAATTACCAGAAATAAGATGTTTCAACACAATAACTCAACATGCAAACTTAAAAACATCAAAAGAAAAAAAAAACACAAAAACAAAACAAAACAAAACAAAAAAACAGAAAATACAGAAAAAGACCCATGCTATGGTTTCGTCTAAAATATATGGAATGAATGCGAAAATATTATTACCAAGCCTTTTTACGCTTTTGCACTATCAAAACATAGATTCGGTCCTCTTTAACACCAAACAATGAACGAAAACTAAACAATCGATTTCTGGATAAGCAAACAACAAATGATTTTTGGGTTCGCAAACAACAAACGATTTATTGGATAAATTCATAGCTAGAGTTTGCGATTTATGGGACAAATTTAGCACTAATTAATAGATTGCGGTGGTTTTTTGGGAGAAAATTGAAATTCTAGTGGTTTTGGGATTTTGAGAATTTTGAGGAAGAGTTGATTACATATCTTTTAAGATAAAAATCAAAAATTAAAATATTCTATAAAGTGGGCTTTTAATTTAAGATTTTCTTTTTCATATGATGTGAAGTGTATTTCAGACACAATAAAAACAATAAATAAAAAAAAAACAGGGATTTATTAGTTGGATTCATACACATAAAATCTACTACAGGAAGACCTATGATAAATTGTTCACTTCTTTTATATAAAGGAGCGGCTAAAATAAATTCCGTTTTTTTCTCACTTCAATACTACCAACATTAAAAATGAAAAAATAAATAGGTACTGACATTATTACCCCTAATGAAAATCAATACCACATAAAATTTGTGCGGCATTGCTTTTATTAAGGATATTAATGTCATTACCAATTTATTATCTATTTATTATGATGACGGTATTGAAATGAGAAATAAACGGTATTTTGTTTTAGCCCCCTTTATATTTAAAGATGATACGAAGAGGAGCAATTGGTATTTTGCAAATAAGCCCTCCTTTTTTCTTTTCTTTTTTAAGATTTTGCAAATAAGCCCTCCCTGGACCCTAGCTAGATCCATTAATCGATTTGAGAATTGGGATCGACAGTATACGCTCTGCTCATTCCATCAATTTCGAAATTCACCGCAAATCGCAACTGATTTTTCCTCTTAGGTACTACTATATATATATATATATATATATATATATATATATATATATATATATATATATATCTTTCTTTTAGTGTTTGTGTTTCGGATGAAATCTCGAAGTTTAATGATGTTTTTGTAGGTGTCGGCATATATATACTGAATCATCATATATTTGGACATAGAATTTAATTATGTCTTCAGCTCAAGACCCTTTCTACATTGTCAAAGAGGAGATTCAGGGTTCTGTAAGTCTTTTTTTTTTTTTTTGTTCTACTTCTCATCCGTAGATCAATTAAAAAAAATTACGATTTTTGTTGGGATTTATTTTCATAGAAAAAAATCATTCCCCCGATTTTAATTTTAGGTTTCCCGTTTATATTCTGATTATGGGTTCGATTTCAATTCGACTGCTTACATCTGTGCTTCTTCTTGCCAATTTTATGTGGGGAACTGAATTTTGGAGGGTATTAATGTGATTAAATGAATGTTAAGTTTATTGATCTGCTGTATTTGGATTTTTTTTTCTTTTTTTTTTCATTTTTTTAATAAAAAGATGGGAAAATAAATATAATTTTTGTGCTAGTAGAGTTAAATGAAAATACTGCTGCTCTTCCAATTACTGATCAGCTAGTATTTTCGGTTGTGACATATGTTATTTCTTGATTGGTTGAAATATTAATTCTTGATCCGATTAGATTGATAAGTTGCTCTCGACGTTTAACCAATGGGAGCGAATGCCGTTAGAGAGTGTAGAGCAACTGCGTCTCACTAAGGAGCTTCTTTCTGGATGCGAGACCGTTGAATGGCAGGTACGACTTTTGTACGTGCGATCTTTCTTTCTTTAGACGATGTTCAGTTATTTGCATTGGTCCTATTATATTTGAAAGTATTTCTTTCTGCGTCATTTCATCACTGCCGATGATAATTGTTACAATGCAAATACTGAGTTGGCTTTGCCGGGATTTCTTACCAGGGTGGCCTTAAAATCTCGACTAGTTATTTTTAGAATTATTCGTACGCGGAAAATAGCATTAAACAAGCAAATATTTTTAGACGTCAATTGAAATAGAAAAAAATGATCTCGTTATAATCGAGTGAACTCACTATGAACTACAATTGCCTCCCTTTTCGAGTTTTTATCAATTCTCGTGGAAATGTCTCTGTCAATAAAGATAAGCAAAGTATCGTTCAACCATTCGTTATTTATCTTGGACTCTGTATGGATGGGCTAAAAGATATGAATTGGGTTGACTAAATAACGGGTTATATAATGTGACGATTTCGGATTGAAAATTTCAAGAAATATTTGGTAAATAAATAAATGCATATTTCTCACGGTAGTACTGAAAATTCGTTTGCTGATAGGAAGGTGGATGAATTGGACAAGACAATTGACGTTGCAGCGAGGGATCCTGCTTGGTATGGTATTGATCAAGCGGAGCTCGATAAACGAAGAAGATGGACTAGCAATGCTCGTACTCAGGTATCAACCACCACCTTTTATTTTTTTGTTATGCTTAAGTTTCTATTTCGTCCACCTGAAATTTATTTTTCGATCAATAGGTGAAGAATGTTAAGAAAACAGCGGTTATTGGAAACGAGTCGAATGGGACGAGCACCTCAAATGTCAATGGAATGCGGCGTGAACTTATGAGAGTGCCGAATCCACATCAAACTGATAAATCGAATCAGTACGCTGCTGCTCAAGAGAATGATGATTACATATCATCTGAATCGGACAGACAACTACTTCTGATAAGGTAATATTGTTGTCGTTTTCGAAACCCCGTTTCATTTATTTTCTTTTCCTCAGTATTTTTTTATTTATTCTATTTTTATATTGAAGCTCTTTTTAACGAGTCCAATTATCATGTCATGTCTCGTGTATCTTGATTTTGCAGTTGTTCAAAAGCTCGCCTTGCTCTTTTTTTTCCCCCTTAACTAGTATCTCTTATGAGTGGGTATTTACGTGAATTGCCATTACCGAGCATCTGATCTATTATTAAATGTGGACCATGTGAAAACTCGTTTTTTTTTTAATGCATCGTGGCAGGACTCTATGCATCGTGGGTATAAAAACTAATTCTTAAAAATTGTTTATGTACGATAACTTTGACAATCACAATACTCTAGACAAAATATTGGAAATTATCGTGTGCACTTTGATCGGAAGTGTAAAATCTATCTTGTGAGGGACATTATTATCTTAAAAAATTTAATAATCATTCAGCAATAAATAATCGTTTATTTCTTTTCCTAGTTGTGTTGGTGGTTTTTCCTTATTTTATTTAAAATTGAAAGTTTTTTAACAACCCTGAATTACGCGTTTCGTGTATCTTGATTTGCAGTAGTTTTTAAAGTTTACCTTGCTTTTTTCTTTTTAGCATTTCTTATGAGTATGGAAGTGAATAACCATTACTGAACATCTTAAACTAATTTTTACAAGTTGTTCGTGTAGGATAACCTTAACAATAGCAATACCCTAGACAAAATATTGGGAATTGTCATGTGTACTATGTCCGAGGTTGAAATAACGTCAGTTTTTAGTTGGTGAAGGCAGATCGATTATTTTTGGAATGAATGTTTGTGTGACTTACTGGTTTAAAAGACTCGTTTCCTGCTGCAAATATTATTTAGTGGAACTTTCTTGTATTGGGTGATTCGAGACCAAAAAGTAGAACTGTTTTTCGGAGTAGTGGAAGTGTGGAACTTTCTTGTTTCAAGTTTTACACTGGTAATAGACTTCTATTGCAATGCTAGATCCTCAGATTATATTTCTGACAGCATTTGGTATTTATTTCTGAATGTGACGGTGATACCCTTCTCGTTTTATTTAATATACTTCAAAATAGGAAGAAAGAAAATACTGTTTGGATGAATTAAGGTAAGGAGGCAGTAGTGCATATTTTGAGTCGTGATTTGAGTTGTGTTTTAATTTCAGGCAACAGGATGAAGAGCTAGATGAGTTGAGTGCAAGTGTCGAGAGAATAGGAGGCGTTGGGCTCACAATACACGAGGAGCTTCGTGCTCAGGTAAGTGTAATACACACAGATCATTATAATCGCATGTTTTTTTCTTGGAAATTATATAATTCGTGGAGTGGTGATTTTTTCAGGAGAAAATCATGGATGACTTGGGCAATGAAATGGACAGCACGTCAAATCGTCTAGATTTTGTTCAGGTGAAAATGATTCCTTCTATGATAATTATGTTTCCTACTAAAGCCTAAAGGCGGTAAATAAAAAAGGGTTAATTACAGTAGAACCTCGCTAAATTAATAACCTCGCTAATAATAGTTTCTTTCGGTCCCGACTTTCTAAGAACCTACTATATTATTGGTTCGATAATATAATATTTCGTTAAATTAATAGAATTTTGCTAGTCCCGACTATATTAATTTATAGAGGTTTAACTGTACAAAGGCCACTCTTCATCTTCGGCTTGCTTAGGTTTTGTTCATTGTTTACGAAAATGTCGATATCAGTCAAAAAATTACGTTTGAAAACACTGTTTCGATCATATACAGTTGGTAGAATTTGCAAAGTTGAGACTCATAATATCGATCAAATATTTATAATTTGTAAAGTTAGAGGGGTAGTTTCTGTAACTAGGAGAGATCCCGAGAAATGTTGTTGTATCTATACCTAAATAAAAATATGTAATTTGCATCCCGAAGATTTGGAGCTCAATTTTATTTGGATTGTTTTGTGCAGAAAAAGGTTGCGATGGTAATGAAGAAGGCTGGTGCAAAGGGTCAATTTATGATGATCTTGTTCCTACTAGCTTTGTTTATCATTTTATTTGTGCTCGTCTTCTTCACATAGAGAGCTTCAAACTATTAAACCGAGTTTACTTATCGGGACCATACTCGCTGTAAATGAGTTTTTCTTATCGGGATCATTGAAGCATCTCCTATTTAGTGGATAGGATCAAACAGTCTTACAGTACTTGAGTTTTTGTTCTTGTTGAACAAATCATTTGATAGATTCACATTGGTTTCGTGATTTATCGACTACCATCCAGTTGAGGTACTTGGATTTTATTTTTGTTTTTTTTCTATAAGATAGTTGCAAGTTATTATTCTCCCTTGATCGGTCCTTAAAACATGGAAATCTGTGTGAATTTATGAGTGACCGCTCCCATCATCTCGTTCTTGTGGTGAGAGATTTCGGGTTCGATTTTGTGTGTGTGCGTGATTGGGTGCATGCATTATAAGGTCATTCATGATTCCCATTTTTCTTTTTTCCTTGTGTTAAAATCTTAGTGCTGAAAATACTTTTCCTACTATTTAGCAAATATCCTTCTATGGTGAATTTTGTTTAGCATATAACCAGTAAATTTGGTAAAATTTGGTAGGGGTGGAAAGTAGAAAGATTTTTTTAATTGGGCGACTAAAATTAATATCATTTTTTCTCTCTTCAATATTAATAAGTTTAATACCATATTTTATAGAAGTTTTCACATTCTTTTCTTAGATTAATACCATAAATAATTTTTTTATTAGCAAAGTACTAAAATATCCTCATCGAACAAAATACAATTTATACAAACAAATTTCTCCTCATTTCAATACCGAAGAATGAAAAATAAAAAATAAAAACTCTTTTCTTCTCCCCTAAACTCATTAAACCCTCTATTCTTCATTTTTTTTTCTTTTTTTGAGTAAATTCAAGTCCATTACAAGGGGAAATAGGGGAGGGTTGGGGGGGGCTCGAACCCTAGACCGTTACCCTATTGGTAAAGGCTAGGTACCAACTCTCCTAATGAGGGTTGGTCTTCTTCATCTTCTTACAAACCCTCTAAAAAATCTCAAAATTCAAAACTTCACAAAATCTATATAAAATGGAGTCAAAAGACAACAAAATAGTAGTTTACATGGTAGGAGAACCCATTAAAGTATGTATCCATGCCTTTTTTAAGCTTGGAAGTCGATTTTGAAGTTTTTTTTAATATATTTTTCGACAAGTTGGTGTCGAAAATTGAGAAAAAAATCGACCTGTATATGGCGAAAATTGTAGGCGGGGTTTCAAAAAAAGAACTTCAAAATTAATGGGGTTTCAGTATTAACTTTGAAGCTCAAAAAAGACATGGATACATACCTTAATGGGTTCTCATTGGTCGTAAACTACCATTTTGTTGTCATTTGACTCCATTTTGTAAGTTGTGTGACGTTTTGATTTCTTTACTTTTGAGATTTTGTAGGAGGGTTTGTAAGAAGAAAAAAAACGAGGGGGTTGAGGGGTTTATGAAGGAGAGGGGTTTGAAGGGTTTTGTGTGTTTGGTATTGAAGAAATAAAAATGAGATTTTTAATGTTTTTATAGTATTGATTTTCATTAGGGTATTTATGTCATTACCTATTTATTATCTAATTTTTATTTTGGTGATATTGAAATGAGAAAAAATGGTATTATTTTTAGCTGCCCCTTTTTTAATTTCTCAGATTCCAGTTTCTTTGAATAAGTTTTTTCATTCCAATCTATTAAAATTCTGATTTGAAATGTTTTTGAATTTTTTTAAATTGGAAAATTTCAATTAGTTTTCGAAAAATGCAGAATAGTATTTATATTAAATTCCTATTACGATATACATAAATTGTGTTGTTTTTTAGCTAGTTTAAGGCTCCATTTGGTAAAATTAAGGATTGAACCCTAAATGCTAAACAGTCGTCTGAACGATTAAGAGCGATGTCTAAATACTAAATGTTTAATGTTTAAGTTGTTTGGTAATTGTATTATTTTTATATATGAATGTTGTTATTTTACTATATTGTCCTTCAAAATTGTTCAATTTGATTTTATTAGTTTAATTATCAATAATATTTCACTAGATATATATATTAATATATTTATTTTGAATTGTGCTTTTTTCTTTTTGAATTATGAATTGTGCTTTAAAATATATTAGATTATATTCTTACTATGAAATAGGTATATAAATAATACAAATTTCTAGCATGGCCATAGGTTTTCTTTAAATATGTAATAGAGAGAGAGAAAAATGAAATTTTACTTTATAATAATTAACTAATCTTATTCTTTCTTAAAAACTATATATTAAAAAGTACTGCATCTTAATATCTATCATTTTATGATAAATAATGTACTTGTCAAGAAATTAAGCATTGTTTCAACTTATATATATTTTCTAGAAAAAAACAAAAAAGTAAATTACTTCCTCCATGCCAATTTATAGGTATTTGCACAAGAACTAAGAAACCCAATAAATATGGCTAAATTTGAGAAAAACCATCTATAGACTAATATACCCTTTTACCAAATTTTTATTTTATTTATTTCTCTCTCATAACCATTAATAGGAATTGATTTCTTCCGTATTTGACTCCCACTAATTTATTCCCCCCCCCCCCCCCCCCCTTTTTCTCTCTTGAATCTCAATTATTCATAAATTTTTTTGTCTCTCCAAATTCTTTCAAAACTCCATAAGCCTAATAGTTGAAAAACCAGAAAAAGAAAGCAAAACATTCCCGTATAAAAAGAGATTTTATTTCAACATAAAAATTTCCCCTCCAAAAATTCAGGCAATTTTTTTAAAATTACCCGCTTCTTATTTTAAAATGTTTATGTATTCCCACCACAATTGTTCTATAAATTAACACACTACAATCTTTAATATCAAAATAAAAATGAAAGTTGGAATAGATCTAAATATACAACCATCAAATTTTGACGTTGATGAAGAAGATGAATAGCAAAAGGAAGCAAGCATTAATTTAGTTACACACCTTAACCTCGATTTAAATTCTCCAGGAAAATCTTCAGTGGATCATTTTTTGATAGATCTAAACAGTGAACCATATGATGAAGCAATCATGCATATGGAAGTGGAGTCAACAACATTTCCAGCAGCCATTCAAATATGGGTACCATCTTAATTTTCTTGTGAGTTTTTTTATGTTATGATGGTAATTAATTCATTTTTTCCTTTAATAGATGAAAACATCACCAGTGGAGAAGGAAAGACAAACGAAGCAGAACTAACATCAAGTCAGATAAAAAAATTGAGAACTTTATCCAATGATGAACGCCAAGCCATATACAACATGCTACAACAGGAAAGTGTTCGTGGAAAATTAAAAAAAGGAGTGACAAGATTGGTTGCATCACAATTTTCGGTATCTATACGAACCGTTCAACGTATTTGGAAACAATCAGAAAACGGTGGCACCCATGTTAATGCATCTCATAAAAAGACAAGAAACAAGAAATTGTGGTCGAAAGAGAATTCAGATTAAGTATGATCAAATTCGTGAAATTCCTTTACATCGTCGGATAACTCTTGATTCTTTAGCTTGTTCGTTGAACATGAAAGAGAGCACGTTGTTTAGGTGTCTTAAGTCGGGGGAAATACGGCGACATTCAACGCTATAAAACCAATTTTAACGGAGGAGAATAAGAGATCTCGATTGCAATTTTGTTTGTCAATGCTGGAGGGTGATAGCATGCCGCATGACCCCATTTTTAATGGTATGTTTAATGTTGTTCATATTGATGAAAAATGGTTTCAGATGACGAAAAGATCAGAGAATTACTATTTGTTACCAGATGAAGAAGATCCGCTACGCATTTGTAAAAGCAAAAAACTTCATTGGAAAAATCATGTTTTTGGCTGTTGTAGCTCGTCCGAGGTTTGATGCACAAGGAAATGAAACGTTTTCCCGAAAAATTGGAGTATTTCCTTTAGTTACACGAGAACCAGCTAAAAGAACCAGCGTAAATAGAGTTGCGGACACGTTGGAGACAAAGCCAATACCCTCAGTAAGTAGAGGTGTTATAAGGTCATATTTAGGGGTGGAAATCGGACGGGTCAAATCGGAAATAGGCTCTTCGGAAAAATTTCGATTTTTTTCGGAACTGAAATCTCAATTCCGATTCCGATTCCGAAATATTTGGAATTTAAAAACGAGTTCCGATTTCGATATATCCGGAATTTTCTAAAATTCGGAATTTTTTCGGAATTTTCTGGAAAAGGAAGATAAGATGTAAAACAAAAATCGAAAAGAGCAAAGAACAACTCAAAGCCCAACAACAATCAAGAATTTCTATTCCTTCCATATTACCAGAACAAATAGACATGTTACACATAAATAACTCCCAAAATTACGAAATATGTACTGAAATTTAAAAAAAAAAGGTTCTCTGTAGATGCGAAGATAGATCGATAGACTGACGAAGAATTAAGTCGACGAGGAACAACTAACGATGGAGAAGAAGCCTGAGTAAAGGTCGGACTGAGAAGAACGAAGAAGTAAAAACTGGATCACGTTTTTTTTTTTTTTCTTTCTCTCTTTTTGGAAGAAGAAGCGGCGCACCTGTGCTAGGAATAAAGAAGAGAAGATGAATTAGGTGGTTAGGTTTGATATGGGCAAGTTGTAGTTTGTAACTTTGTATATTGAGTCAAATCAAATGGGTCATATGTTATTTTTTTAAATAAAAAATTTGCAGCCCAGTCCAAATTGAAAAGTCATGCCCCGGTTAGGATAAAAATATTGAATATATATATATATATATATATATATATATATATATATATATATATATATATATATATATATATATATATATATATATAAAGGTATAATAATTTTTAAATATATAAAAAAAACCGAAAAAATCGGAATTATTCGGAAATTTTCGGAATTATTCGGAATTATTTTTGGATCGGAATTCGGAAATTCTGAAAATTTAATGTCAGATTCCGATTACGATCTGATTTTTTTCAGAAAATTCGGGAATCGAAATTTCGGAAATCGGATTACAAAAAATAGTTCCATAATCGGAAATATTCGGATCGGAATCGGCGGAAATTGAAAATTTCATTTCGATTTCCACCCCTAGTCATATTTAATTAAAAAAGTTCTACCTGCGATCAAGGAAAAATTGCTGAGAGAGGATTCGAATTATCCAATATTCATTCAACAAGACAATGTTAGAACGCATATTGATCGTACCGATGATGAATTTTGTCGAGCAGTTGCACAAGATGGATTTGATATTCGTTTTGATGTCTCAACCTCCTAATTC